CATGCTCTAAAGACTCGATTTTCAATTTCTTATCCTCGAAACGTAACCTAAGACGATTTAACTCACACTCCTTCTTCTCACTCTCGTCTATGGCAGACTCATAGGCTTTATAGATGATGTTCATATCTGTTTGAATCTGGGTTAGATAAGGTTCACAAAGAGACAAATCAAAGTTATTATCAGAGATCATGGATTTTACCTGCTGAACGATGCTTCGACCAGGTGGATCGTTGGTGGCCATGTAGCAATAGTGAGGTTCAGCAACATCATCTTCATCTTCTGACCCAGAAGACCAGCACCCTTCATCACATTCAACAGTTTGTCTTGCCATCAAACACATATTCCTTCCAGTTACCATGTCATCATCATCCCCGAATGACCAATATCCTTCAACATCTCTTGAAACCGTTGTTACAAAGGCTTTTTCGCTTTCAGCCATTTCTTGGGCTTTTCAGACGTAGTAAGCAGAATCCTTGATTTTTGGTTTTTGCGGAGCATCAGCCAGACAATCTTTAGCAAAATGGTTTGCATGTCCACACTTATGACACACAATTTTTGGTTTGTCCGATTTGGAACTTTGAGAAGGTTCCGGAGTAGAGTTTGGCTTAGTGATGTTTGGTTTGTATGCGGGAGGATTTTCCGAAGTTGGTTTAGCTTCCGGAGCTGAGTACGGTTGAGGATTGTCATGGTGAGGAGCATGGAATCGGTTTTGATATGGTTTGTAAGAGGGATTGAAAGGACGTTCGTATTTCACTGAGAGTAGAGCAAACTCCTGTTGGAAACGGAGTTCAGATTCCATGGCTTCAGAATCATCAACAGGGTAGATTTGTGTGGGTAAGATAGGTGCGGATGTTTGAACAGATGGAACAATAGGTTTAAAAGGATCCGAAGTAGACAAGTTCGGAATGGTTGATTCGAAAGAACTGACAAGGGCAAGAGGACCTCCGGAGAGTTCCCTTATGGTTTGAGCAACATTAGATTCGTGTCCTTGAAGTTCATCAAAAAGTTGATAGAGCTTTAACTTTTTCAAGGAACCATTGCTTTGAAGGCAGGGTTTCACATTACCCCATCCTTTGCCGAGACTGTTTATGAATTTAAGATTGTACTCCAAAGGAGTTTGGACAATCCCGTGAGCAGTCATGTTGTTGACCATAATTCTGTAACGGTTGGAGGCTGAGGCCACTGATTCACCAGGAGTGGTAGTGAAGGTATCGAAGTCGTTGACAACTGAGGTGAGGCGCTTGTCTTTCATATTTTCCGAACCTTCAATCAGGTCCTGAAGAGTGTCCCAAATCTCTTTGGCTGATTTGCACAACTTGATATGCTCGAAGAGTGAGGGAGGTACACCAAACACCATTTCTGAGAAGGCAACTTGATCAACATGCAGCTTCTCAATGTCATCTGCAGTTAGAGGGGCTGGACGATTATCATATTGACCCATAAGCTGAGGAGCAGCATCTCGCACAACGATTCTCAATGGAACATGAGGACCTTCTTTGACGGATCTCCAGATTTCTTCACCTTTATCTTTGGCCAGTAAAAATCTTTCCATTCTAACTTTTCAGTGATCATATTCTTCCACAACTAGTAATGGGGCACGTGTAGGGCCACCCACACTATTTGCGATTTGCATTGAAATCATTTGTTGAGGATTAGAAGCAGCCATTGAAGTTAAGATATCTTCAAGCAAAAGTGGTATATAGAATAACTTTTATCCTTAACACATAAATGGTTGAAGTACCAAGGTAATTTCAAACCAACTATAATCTGATCTTATGGATTCAAAGGACAACCACTTAAGCTCTGATACCAATTGTGAGTGCAAGATCGATCTGATGCGCAGGGACAAGGTTTGAGAACTCAAACCTTGAGTGAATGCTTAAGATCAATGACTGCTTGCTAATAAATGTTCAAGTCAAGCCTGGAAAGACCAGTCAAGTCTTAGATAATATATTCAACAAATGATCAAGTCATTAAATGAGAGATGAGAATAAATGATCAAGGTAAAGCTAATAAATGAAGAGCAAGAAGAATGTTTGAAAGAAGTTTGAAGTTACTTAGTAAAATACCAAACGTTGAGTGAAAAGATCCGTAGTTGACTTGTATTGAATGCTCCTTTAAAAAGGAGTGAAGGTTACAGTGAATTAACTAGAACACTTACATAGGACTGGACAATAGAAATGTTTCTGGCATTCTGATTGTCTAATACAACAAAAGACTAAGTCCTATGAGAAGTCACATCAATACAAAGACAAATATAATAAATGCACAAAGACAAAAATAGAGGTGCTCCGGATCAGTATCCATTCCGGACATGAAGATCGTTCCGGAATGACTTCAGCTTCACATATTCTTCTCTTCTGGCCCGGATAGATTCCGGACCACTCTTCACCATTGACTCCAGACCATTTACTTCGGAACACACTGACTTCGGAATTTAGACTTAAAATTGCTAGAGGTTCACTTTCAGGTTCTAACAGGCACTAGTGTTATCATGACATATTAAAGTCTTTGTAGATTTCAGATTGTTGTCTATCAATTGATTTTGCATCCATAGTACTTTAGCACGACATCTTACAACTACAACATACTAAGCTTCAGTTGTAGAACATGCAAGTGAAGATTGTTTCTTACGTGACCAACTGATGAGTCGATCCCCTAGAAGCTGACATCCTCCAGATGTTCCATCATGTCACACATTGGACATATAATGCCACACACAATATAATGGGAAAACTCACATGAATCTAGCACCGAAGTCTCTCATGCAAGAATTCACAAAGGAATTAGCTAGTGTGAACCACTTGATATGATAAGAAGTCGTATGAGCAACACTAATGACATGAGTTTGATGAACTTCTCCTTCTATGAACACCACTTAAAAGCTTAAGCAATGTACCAAATACATTACTCCTTCCTCCCTCACTCTCTGGTGTTGGCGGCATGAATGCTCGTTGACAGTGGCAACCTTTTCAATTTCTTTTTTTGTTTCTTTTTCTCACCATTGATCTCCATATCTTTCTCGCCGCATCAAGAGCACACAAACACACGGGGTTCTCAAGTTAGGGTTTAAGTTCTTTTTGGGAGGAAGAAAACGCATGTAAGAAGCATCAAAATAACATCTCGTTCATGTGTCGGCTTCAAGGGGACAACATGAGACTAAAATCCAAACTTGGCATAATTGGTCCTTCGAGTTTGACAAAAAAATGGTCTCTCTTTCTAAATTCATGACATATAAAGTTTTTAAATTGCCCCATTTTAGCCCCTCTTCAAAATTGGACTTTTTTATATTAAATAAATAATTATAGTTTTTTTAATATCAATTTATTTTATTTATTATTATTACTTATTAAGTAATCACTTTAAATATATAGTAGATGTAAGACCCGTGTAGTACACGAGTTTATTAAAAATAAAAGTTTAATATAAAATTATAAGCATTATGTAATTTTAAAGCAATAGTTTTACATAAATACAAATGATATAATCAATAACGTATTTAATTTAATATATATATATATATATATATATATATATATATATATATATATATATATATATATATATATATATTCTAGGAGATTTGAAATAAGGAAAAGAAAAACTTAAAAACATTTATTGTGATATTTAATATGATGATATTCCTTATATATAAACCTTACTAAAATTTGAATTTTAAATTTAAGAAAAATGAAAAATACAAAAAAATGACAAGTGGGAAAAAATAATTCAAAAAATCCTAGAAAATGACATGTGTGAAATTCAATATGAACATGACATTTGACAAAAATGATTTTTCATTTATTAGGTTAGATTATTCATTTTATTTATTTAGTTCACTTATCAAACCTTAAAACTATTATTTATATTTATATAATTTTTCATATTATTTATTAAACTATTTTTTCTAAATAATTAAATGAAAACGAAATGTTACAAAATGGTAATGAGATAATCAACAATCGCAAATGGGGATGAGATAAACAACCATCACAAACGCGGGATAAACAACCATCACAAACGCGAGTGAGATAAACAACTATCCCAAACATGACAAGATAAACAAATACCATTAAGTTATCACATGTTGCCTTTTGTAACAAATTGCCAATTTATTAGCATCATATATGTTCACAACAAACTACGATAGTGTATTAAGAAACATATTAGTAAGAACACTAACAAAATATTGGACATCATTATCATCAATTAAAAATATTGGACATCATTATCATCAATTATGTGCATAACAATGTATGATCCGTGACATTCAAAAGACAAAAGGGGTCTGATTAGTTTATAACATTGATTTGCATAACATCATTCGATCATATACCATAACATATGCAATATGACACAATAAAGTTCATTTATCCAAAATATACTATTAATTTTGGATTTGATTATGACAGGTTGCAATTACTAGAAAACCTTTTGAATATAGTTCAATACATATTGATGGAAGGCAAACAGACAACAAGCTGCGTCGCAAGTCCTTTCTGGATGACAAAACTAATTCATTTGAAAACAACATCTGTGGATCTAGAAGATATGACATTAGAGTGCATGACCTGATGGACTCTGTTGAGGAGCTCCACCGCCTTTGGATTTTGTATCAATGATTTTTTTGACATTCTAATACATAATTGATTAATTAAAAATACGGTGTTTTGAAATTAAGATCATTTTTACATGTAAGATAAAAAAAATTGATCATTTCAATTGCTTAGAAATTTAGAATCATTATTTTGAGAAATACGTATAATTCTATCTTGCTTTTGCGTTGAATTATTTTTTGAATTTAGATTGATAGAATGCATCGGGTTGTCCTACGTGGCTCACATGCCTGCATTTTCGGGCCCCACGACCTATTCATCACCACCGTCTACGCAGCTCACACCAACTGAAAACTTAATCCAAGGGGCACAAATCGTACGTGACACTCCCTACCATACCTACCAAAGGACCGCAGTCGTGGTTAAGGTATATCAAATCTACGACCAAGATCTTCCGAACAAACCAACAGAGCTCTCAAACCCTATAAATTCCCGGGCCACAGAGAGTGCCATGGAAGACGAGAAGCCAAAGGGCTTTTTCTTGTTCTAGTTTTATCCGTTAATGAAGCCGTATTTGACAGCGATCGGAGCGGGAAATTCCTAGAAAGGAGGGTTTTGTCTCGATTGATTGTTTCCCCATTGTCTTCTGTTTGAGCTCTCAAACCCTCGCTTTTGAAAGTTATCGGGCCACAAAGATTCTCAAATTCGACATGGAAGACGAAAAGCCACAGGAGTTTTTCTTGCTCTAGTTCTATCCGTAAGTTTAGCCGTATTTGATAGTGATCGGAGTGGGAAAGCCCTAGAAAAGAGGGTTTTGTTTGGATTGTTAGTTTCCCCGTTATCTTCTGTTGCTTTTGGCTTACTGTCGATAATTGCAAATAATGGAGTCGTCCGCGATATCGATATACAACCCTCAGAAATCCAAGTAAAACTTCCTCGTGTCATTTATTGTTATCGTGTTGTCTTGTCTATGCGTATTAATATTTGTCAATTTTGTTTTCTAGTAAAAGAGTGCTTCCGGGGAGTAGTAGTTCATCGTATATGGAACCTGAAGTGATCGAAATTACTCCTCCTTACGCTGGTCAGACTTCCAAATCGAAGGCTAAAGCGCTTAAACAAAAAGAGGTACATAAATCGTATCAACAAAGCTAGTTTATTGGTTTCATCAATCTTGTTCATATTTCATCATTTCGCAGGTTGTTTATCATGAAATAATCGACGTTGACATGGATGAAGACCGAAATGATGTAGTGTTCATTGAAGGGAAGGTTGAATCCAACAAAAAGAGGAAGGTATAATCTTCTTGATTTCCAATTTATTATGATTCTTGATTTCAAGTACGATCTACTTTTGTTACTTGATTTTCTTTAACTTGTTCTATAGTCCTCTGCTTTGTTGCTCTTAACTCTAGTTATAATCGTATACCTCTGTTTCCAGGGTGCTATGGGCATCTCATTGGGTTCTAGTAGTGCAGAACAAGGTTCAAAGGACAGGGGTCAAACTACAAAGAAAGTTGACTCAAATAATAAGGGGAAGGTATAAGCCTAACCATAGTATGACGATGAAGTCAAATATATTCATATAATTTTTAGTTTTTAATCTTTTTTAGGATATTTCAATGATTTCATCTACGCAGGGTGGTGTGCAAATGAATTCAGTGGTTCCTGGTCATTCTTCAAAGAGCTTTGTAGCAGAATTAGAGAGCTTTTATGATTTAGATGATTATATTTTAGAGGATGATTATCTGGCTTTGCAATCCCGTTTTGATCATATGGATATCCCTACTGGAATTGAAGCTCAAATTCCCTGGTTTCCAGAAACACTCCAAATGAAAAAGAATTCAACTGTTCATGCTGCTTCTACTTATTCTGGTCTACATGCAAGTAACAGTTCAAAGAATCTTCCATTTGTTGAGACCCCACAAAAATTCCAACACCAAAACATGCCCTTTAATTATACACATAATCAAGTAGCTCCACCTATGAAGGTGCCTCATCCGGTTTCTTATTTTTCCAGTAGTTGTAATACTCCTCAAGTTGGTGGTGGTGGTGGCATTTCTTCAAGTTTCTTTCAGTTGCCCATGAACACGGGTTACCCTCTAGGGGTAGATACGTCATTTTCTATGTATCCTATGGGAGACATGATAATGGACAAGGTTAATAGCCCAAGGAGTTCAAGTGTAATTGGAAGTTCTTCTAGCATGGCAAAGGTTGTTGATAATGAAGATGTTCTGAAAAGATATGAGAGCTTCAAGAAGTTTGATACAGTCGTGGATTTTTCTGATCATTATTATGCAGCACAGAATTCTGGAATGAAGCAGGTAAGTCTGATTTTAGGCCTTTCTCTTTTTTTCCCATTTAAGTTGTGTATGGGGTGAATGGGCAACTATGTCTGTTGGATAAATGCTGTATGCCTAAAATATGTTTCTTTTCTAGACCGTATAAACCATCTTAAAGAGTCTTTTAAGTGTAAAAATTTTAACCTTGCATTCCAAAAAATAAATTTCACAATATTAATCAATTGTAATAGTGGTTACTAAGCCATGTTTTTTTTGGCTTAACCTATTAATAAGGTGTTTGGGATTGCTTATTTAAGGTGCTTATTAGCTTATTGTGGTTTGGTAAAAAGTGCTTATTGACTTTACATAAGCAGTTTTGATAAGTTGTTTTCTTTTTTTACTAACTTATTTGAAATGCTTATTATATGTGGAAACCAATCTACGCCTTTAGGCTTTTACCATTGTTTTAACTCTAAACACCATGTAGCCTTGGTTTTTTTTTTTTTTTTCATGACCATTGATGCTTTTAGCAGTTTACCCTTTTATCCCTCATGTTTTTCTGCTCATTTTACATGTATAAACAAACAGAGTTTCTCAAATACTAAAAAGTAAGTGATGAGCTTATTGTGTTTTGGTAGCGTATAACCTAATCCAAACACTTTTGTTGTAAACTAACTGTCCGTTTAATTGCTTAGCCCATTCAGTCAAAAAAGAAACAACCCCTCTATTGGATTCAGTTTACTTAGTATGTTGTTAATTTGTTTTTTTTATATTGTAATTTTGTTTTATTTTCATACACATAATAAGACATGAATGTGGATTGGTTATGTTTCAGCCACCAAAAAATTGGGCTAAAAAGATACAGGATGAGTGGAGGATTCTTGAGAAAGATCTGCCTGGTATGTGTCAGAAATGGAGCCCTTTCTGTTAATAATAATATGTGATTAGAAAAAGAGATTAATAGATGTTGTGATGGGGTTGGGGTGCAGACACAATATTTGTAAGGGCATATGAGTCAAGGATGGATCTTTTAAGAGCTGTAATTATTGGAGCAGATGGCACCCCATATCATGATGGACTCTTCTTCTTTGATATCTGTTTTCAAAGCAGCTATCCCAGCTGCCCACCTGTAATACCATATGTCTTGTTTAATTATGGTTTGTTTGTTAAGTTGAAGTTGATGTTGATGTTGAATGGTTTGGCAGCTTGTGCACTATCACTCTGGTGGGCTGCGTATCAATCCGAATCTGTACAACTGTGGGAAGGTGTGCCTGAGCCTTCTAAACACATGGTCAGGTGCCCAAAAGGAGAGGTGGATCCCTGGCACCTCAACCATGCTCCAGGTGTTGGTCTCCATACAGGGTCTCATCTTGAACACAAAGCCATACTTCAATGAACCCGGTTATGCACACTCCAGTGGCTCCATCCAGGGAGAAAAAAGATCCATGCAATACAACGAAAGCACCCTTATTCTATCACTCAAAACCATGGTCTATACCATGAAAAAACCACCCAAGGTAAACACTCACTCCCTTTCTTCTTCTTTATCTATATCTATATATGATGATGATGATGATGATGAAATCAAATGGATGGTGTAGAACTTTGAGGATTTGGTGAGTGGGCATTTTCGGAACCGTGTGCGAGATATTTTGATGGCGTGTAAAGCGTATACTGAAGGGGTGCAGGTTGGGTGTCTAGTGAGAGGAGGTGTACAGGATGTGGATGAGGACAATGACAGCTGTTCCCCTCAGTTCAAGGCTGATGTGGTTGCATGTGTTAAGACGCTTGTGGCTGCATTTAAGAATATTGGAGCTAAAGAAGCTGAGGAGTTTATCGGGTTGAGTGTAAAGAAAACCAAAACTCCAACTCATTCATCATCGCATGTACGTGCATTTGCACCTGCCTATGCGCATAATAATGTCCATGCCTATCTTCCTCCTCTTCCGCCTCCTCCATCTGCTTTCAATGCTGCTATACCTGCTTATAATCATTATTGGTGAAACATATCGGATTTTGATGGACTAAAAATATTATTTCTTCCTATTTTGGATTTGGATTGGGATTGGGATTGGGATTGGGACCGGATGTTTTAGGTTTTCACCCCAATAGTATAATATACTGCTATGCTATATGTATATAGGGTGGATGTGGATTCTTTCACCAACTTCTTCTAATGTTAATCATTTCACTTATTCTGATCAACCCTATTTCTCAAAAACGATGACCATGTGAGGCTCTTTTTTAACAATCATTTCTGTATTGAACCTTTGCTCGTACCACATGACTTAGTATTGTTTGTGTTGATCTTAAGCAGGAAATGTATGCTGCTTACATGAAAATAGTTTGATCTTTTGCAAATAATTTTGTATCAGCCGAAATAAAAATAATCGTTTGTAGGGTGAAGATGAAGATCATGATGTTAAGTAAATTCAGGTATACATTTGAGCCATTGCACTACCATCCGGGTCTTTTTAATCTTGATTCACAAGATGTGGGTGAAATAAGACTAGGAATAGTGATATTGAAAATATACAAAATTTCAAATGAATCTTAACAACAATATTTCACAAATAGATTTAGATTTGTATACGTTCATTGACCTGGATGGGACAAGGATAAGATAGAACAAGGGCAAAATCAAATAGGATCGAACTTCTAAATTTTAGTCCAAACCAAAACTGTGGAGGTTGGACAAGTGAGAGACTAAAATACTAACTCTTTCATAAAGAGTTAGACGGGTGGGAGCGGGCAACGCGCACCCCCATTTTTCCGACGTGGCACGCTAAACACGACATTATAATGGGAGGAAACGATTGAAATTGCTTGGGAACGGTCACATTTTTGACCGTTTGCAAACGGCCACAAACATTAAAAAAAAAAAAAAACTATTTATATCTAATATAAATACACAACATTTATCTCAATTTTACCTACAAAAATCAACAATTTCTTTCAAAAATTCACATTTCTTTCAATTTCATTTTCTTTTCTAATACTCTATTTAATTAAAAAATGGAACATTTTGATCAGTTTCATCCATACAATCATGATATCGACGAGGATGATATGTCCGTAGGTATGATGTACCGATATGCTACGGACAGGCTACCGTCAGAGCCAACTCCACTACTGACCAGATGTGCGGCGTTGACGTTGACAGAATTCGTGAAGAAGGACATAGATGTCTAGTACATGATTATTTTACGGATAATTGTGTCTACTAACCTAGCGATTTTAAAATAAGGTTTCGTTTGCGGAAAAATGTGTTTCAACGGATAGCCAATGCAATGGAAAACAGGTACCGTAATTACACTTGTTTTAAAAATTAAATATATGTACTTTAGATTATTAAATAATTGTTTTTTAGATAACACATGTACATCCATTTTTACAAAGATATGTTTAGGTATGAATATTTCCAAATGAGGTATGATGCGAGAGGCAAACGAGGTTTTACAGGGTTGCAAAAATGTGTTGCTGCAATCAAGCTTATGGTTTTGGGGGAGTCACCCGATTCTATTGATGACTATATGAGAATGTCAAAGCGAACTGCACGAGAAAGTTTGTATAATTTGGCGAGAGGTGTTATCGAAACCTTCGGTGACAAATACTTGCGCAAACCTTCATTGGATGACATGCAACAACTATATGCGGCACATGAAGAACGACATGGTTTTCCGGATATGCTTGGAATCATTAATTACACAAAGTGGATATGGAGAAATTGTCATGTGGCATGGAAAGGTCAATACACAAGTGGTCATCTTGGATCGCCTTCGTTAGTATTAGAGGTTGTTGCGTCACAAGACGTATGGATTTTACATGCTTTTTTCGAAGTTGCGAGTTCTAACAACGACGTAAACGTTCTTGATTAGTCACCAATATTTCAGGACCTTTTGACAGGAAAGGCGATGGATGCTTCTTTCACAGTAAATGACCATGAGTATAAGTTCGGGTATTACCTTACCGATGGGATATATCCACCATATTCCACGTTTGTGAATGCGTTTCGACACCCGATAGGACCAAGAGACAAATTTTTCAAGAGAAGACGAGAAGAAACACGTAAGGACGTAGAACGTGCTTTCAGAGTTCTGAAAACAAAATGACACATAGTTGAACATGCGGCACGACCATATGAGTTGGACACTCTACGAGATATTATGTATGCATGTATCATAATGCATAACATGGTGATTGAAGATAAATGACGAAACATTGTGGTGTATTAACTTACGAAACCTAGACACATTCAATTTCAACTAGGGACAATAGAATACTTACATAGAGTCGTTGACATTCAAGACCAACGAAAACACAAGCAACTTCGAGAAGATTTGACAAATCATATCTACGATGATACTGAAGATAATAATTTAGGTCAAAAATGTAATTTTTCTCATCTATTTTTTTTTTGTTTTTTTTTTGGTTTTTAAATGTTTTAGTCCTTTTTTGTAATTTTTTTAATGTTGTTTTTAATTTAGAATTTATTAAAATTTTATTTTTACTTTTTAAATGTTATTTTTAACGTATGATTTAATTTATATGATAATTATAAATATTATGACATAAATAAAAAAACAAATTAGAAATATAGATATTAAAAACATCAAAAAAAATTTAAATAAAAAATAAAAAATAAGGGGTGTTATCACATGTTATTTGGTGTTGTCCATTTCCACATTGAGTGTTATAACACTCATGTATGACTAGGATGATGATGTGACACCTTTTGAGTATGGTAACATTCAATAACATGTTGGCCACACCCAACAGACTTAGGATTGTTTGACACGATTTGAATTTATAAGATTTAGACTTTTAAGAATTTTTAAAAGACTTTGAATTTATCTGTCTCTGAATGAAAATAAGTTGTTTTGCTATACATTTGAATTGTTGTGGTGAATGATAAAAATGATCATTTACCCTTCTGTATTATTTTCTGTTGAATTAAATGTTTCTGTTTTATAAAAATAACTTAACATTCATTGACATGAATAAGACAAGGATAATATGGAAAAGGACCAAGACAAATAGGACTATGGATGTGACAAAGATATGTTGGAAACAAGACAGTCAAATACGACTAAAGTTCTAAATTTAGTCCAAACCAAAAGTGTGGAACAAGGTTGGACAAGTGAGGGGCTGTTTGATTTTGGTATGACCAGTCTAGTCGGACGTTTTTGTATAACTTGGTCCTATCAACGTGTTTGATATGGGTAAAATTTACCTCTGACATAGTCCTTGAGAAAAAAGTGTTAGGAAAATATAACCCAAAATTGTACGAAAGAACAAAAGCATAAAATTCTTGACTGAGACCTGTGTTTAACACAGTTTCCTTAAAACAAATTCGCCCTATATGGGTGTTTGTTTCTCAGTATACAACAGTAGAAAGCAATTCTTCTAGATTGCTCGAACCCTCACTTCGCCCGAATTATACCTTGGTTGCAGCAAGAGAGAAAAGATGAAGCAGAAGCGTAAGAGAGTGATTTCGTTTCATCTGGTATCTAGAATCAGTCACATATGCATTGTATATATACTACCCAATGTAACCGATGCAATTAAAACAAACTCGTAACTGTCACAATTAAATAAGAAAATTAATCAAGAAATCAAAACCGAAATCTATGATTAACTGTTAACCAAAAACTTTTCTGGTCGACCGGTGGTGCATTCGTGACCGATGCAATTAAAACAAAATCGTAACTTTCACAATTAAATAAGAAAATTAATCAAGAAATCAAAACCGAAATCTATGATTAACTGTTAACCAAAAACTTTTCTGGTCGACCGGTGGTGCATTCGTGACCGCAGGACGCGCGCTCGCACACAAGTTCAGTAGAACCGAAGCCAATTTGGCTCGCATTTGCACCCCCTGCGTGCGCGCGCAAGAGAGAGCCTTGGTTCTAATAAGTCTTACAAAGGTAGTTAGGCCCCGTTTGTTTGCATCTTAATACCACTTAATAAGGGGCAGGTCTGAATCGGTAAGATTCAGACTGTTTGTTTACCTCTTATTTTGTGGTCTTAATCTGAATTTTACCACTTACCGAATCAGACTTGGAAGCCCATCTGAAAAGAAAAAAAAGACGCCCTAGCCCTCTCTTCTCTTTGTTCGCTTTCGCTTGCTTTCTCGCTTCCAGGTTATACTCTCGCCAACCGAAGAAGGCATTCCTCCCATCCTCATCTGCCACCGTCGCCTCCCTTCCAAGCGCCATCTCTTGCCGTCGTAGCCACCCTTCCCAGCGCCATCTCCTGTCGTTGCTTCACCATCGCCGACTTCAGCAGCATCATCAGGTTTGGCTTTTCATCTCTTTTCTTTTCGTTTTTTTTCCTGATGTTCTTTAGCCGACTCCAGCAACCGGGTTTATCACTGACTCCTATTTTCCTCCCATCATCATCAATTTTTTTCTTTTGTCTCGTTTTTTTCCTGTTGTTCTTCAAAATCATGTGCTGAAATATATTGTTCTTGTTGATTTCCAAAATCATGGGTTGATTTCTTGTTGATTTCCAAAATATGTTGTGATGTTGATTATAAGTTGTTGATTTCTTGTTGATTTTTGAAAACAAGTTGTTGATTTTGTTGATTCATAACTGAAATCTATTGGTGAAACTTGTTAATAATGTGTTTATTGATATGTGCTGAAATATATTGTTCATTTGCTGAAATAAGTTGCTGATTTTGCTATTTATGTGCTGTTATTTGCTGATTTGTGCTGTTTTTGTGCTAATTTTGATGATTTGTGTTGTTTTTGTGCTAATTTTTGTTGTTTATGTATTGATTTTTGTTGTTATGTGTTGATTATGCGTTAACTTTTGTTGTTTATGCGTTAACTTTTGATGTTATGTGCTGATTTGTACTATTATGTGTTGATTTGTGTTGTTATATGTTGATTTGTTATTGAGATTACACTAGACATGTCACAAAAGAAGCCTAGGATTAGTTGGAAGGTAGAAGCTATTGAAAGAGCTTTTCTGGAAGCATGTTTGCAAGAAATTACGGTTAATGGTCGGGAAGGGGGTAGTTTGAAAGCACTCTCTTGGAGGAATGGGGTTTACAAGGCAATGAATACATGGATAATTTGCGTGACCAGATTGCGAATCAATTGGGGCCAAATTAAATTTGTAGGATTTTATTTGGATTTTAGTATGATTTTGTGGATTTAAAAATATTTATGTTTGATTTTGATTTATACTAAATTTGGATTTTATATGGTGTTTATATTTTTTTTAATACG